GTCAAAATATCCTTCAAAAATAGTATCAGCCAAGAAAAACCTGATCAGATTATATCTCCGTTAAAAAACATAAAAAACCCATACAGACACTGAAGATGACTCTTTCCCCAGCATATCTCCTTCTCCTTCATTCAACATCTTTTTTTGGTTGTTTTTCTGCTTCCTCTCTCCTTGGCCTCCTCCTCCACTGACCCACTCTTCTCATCCCCTCTCTGAAATATTGATAAACTGGCTTCTCACTGGGTTTGCTCCTTATTTGTCACGAATAAGCATTTAAAAATCACACAGAAGACATCCTCATTAAGGTGCAGCCTGGGTCTCTGATGGGCCCGCTTGGACACCCTCCATCAGACATTTGCCAGTTGTCAGTGTCACCCTCTGAGGCCAATCACATGCCTTATGAATATTTCACAGCACTCACACACACCACGTCTCCTCTACTACTGAGCCTGGCTTAATGGCAGCCAGGGGGAAGGAGTTTCAGCGCATCAGACGCATGTTTGTCACTGATCAAATGGCCACAGGCTGCAGCAGGAACGCAACAGCAGCATTGATCATATGTGTGAAGTTGTAGGTAGAGAGCTAATGTGAGGGGCGGGGTGGATCCACGCAGCTTGGATTCATATCTTACCGTCAATCCTCCTGGTTCCTTCTTCCTCCTCCTCCTCCTCCGCGCTCACTGCGTCTCCCGCATCCCGTCCCTCTGCTCCCTCATCCGCTGTACCCTCCTACCCGCCTCCCGCTCCACTTGCTCCGGTGCATAAAAAAAAATAGTAATAAAAAATGAAAAGGGAAATTGCTGGGCCCAATCCGCCTGGATCTAAATAACAGTCATTAGCGCGTTTTGTCAAACAACAACTGGCGTCCTCCCCTCTGTGATCAGTGCGCTCTACTGGACCTCACACCCTCTCTCTGTGTGGATGTGTCTGACTGTGCGTCACGTCGGTATCATAATTCCCACGGGTTTCATGTCCAGAGATAATGCGGGGCTGTGAAGGCCTTAGCGCTCTGGGAGAGCTGGATGGATGAATGGGGAGCGGGGCAAAAAATTAGCGCACGATCAGCCGCCGCAAACAGTGATTAGGCGCAAATTATTACACCAATCCGTCGATGCCTCCTCTCCTCCTCCTCCTCCTCCTTCCTCTTCACCGTGCCAGGCAGCTGTCGCTCTGCATGTGTCCGATGTTCATCGAGTACATCCTTTTAGTTTTAATGGAGAAAAACATCGACGCGACAGGAGCCTCTTCCAGCATCCTGGACCGATGGTGATGAATCGAGACACATCAGGAAGGATGTGAGATCTGTGACGTTTTTTTTTTTTTATTAATAAAAGAGAAAGAAAAAATATGCTTTTATAAAACCAACCTAAAAAGCACAAAGGAAACAGCTGGAAAAGCAGGAGAGAAACGGTCTCCTCTCTCCTAGCCTCGCCTTGCATCCGTCCTCCTCTCTCTCCTCTCTTCTCTCTCTCTCCATCCGCTGGTCCCGCTTGTTGCGCGTTCTGCGCTCGAGAGCGCGCAACGCGTCTAGGCTTTCTATGTGCGTTCGTGCGTGCGCAGAATCAGAGAGAGGCAGGAGTGTGTGTGTGTTTTGATGGTCGGTCGTTGGAGGGATTCAGATATGTTGTCAAGGTTTGTCTGAGTGAGCAACAATAAGCTGCTGTGTAGGCAAAAGCAGAAGAATAATGCGCCTTCATCTCAGCATCTGTCTCCTCCTGACCACCTCCGAGTGCATTTGCAGTTCTTTCATGGGCGAATGGGAGGTATTGTATTTGCTGCACAGCCAGACTGCATTAGATTTTCAATGTTTCAATGGAAATCGTGAAGGACTTTAGATTATGTTGCTTAAATTCTGACATAATTGTCAATTTTTCCAGGTTTCACAAAGATTGAAATAAGACATCCAATCACAGGAATAAGGATATGAGCTCTTAGAGACACCTGATGATTATCTGCTTCAATTATCTGCTTTTAATGTGCTTTTTTTTTTTTGCCTTTTCAGCTCTCTTCACTGGCTGTTTGTCTGCCTAAAGATTTCCTTTCACAGCGTTTAAATTAGAAATTTTCAGATCAATATCAATAAAAATTATTCCAGACATAACCTACATTTCAGTTAAATATCTTGATATTCTAAGAAACAAAAAGAAAAACAACAACAACCAGATTACAGTATGGTAGGCCATAACTTTTAAATTTTAATTATTAGCCACCACAGAGTCTATGTATGCCCATTTGGTGTCCAGACATTTCGCAAACTAATGAAAAGAATATAAACTACAACTATGGGTTCAGTTAACTGTCGTTTTAGCATCTTGAATGCAGTAAAATAGCTCTGGGATGCAGTTTTATCAGAAACACCACAATGATGTGGTTTTTACATCATATTTCAGGTTACTTAAAGAATCAAGCACAGACACTGATCGGGAAAACCAAGTTCTTTAATGATGAACAAAAAGGAGAACATATAGAAGGTAAGCTTTCAATTTCCCTTTGGGATTGATGAAGTATCCTTGAATTGAGTTGAGGAAGAGCAGGGCATGGAGCGCAGACAGGGTAACAGGGGAAACCAGTAAAGAACAATGAAAAAAAACAGTAAGCTTATGTAGATTCAGGTAATATAGAATAAAATGCACAGAAATAAAAAAAACTAAAGCCTAAGAAAATAAAAATTTTGAATGGATATACACAAGGAGTACATCAAAACCCAAACCAACAAGGATAATATCAGATCAGTCCTTTTTGTTTTCCATAAAAATAAATATTTAAAAAACATTCAATATTTCTAAGTTGAAAAAAAGACATAATTAAAATCTTTTAGGGATCTCCTACACCCACTTCAGTTCAGGACTCGAGGACACTGATCTTTCCAAGCTGTGTACCCAGAATAGACTGCATTTCCTTTCTTCATAGAGACCAGACTCTGTATACTTTCTAAAATGCAGTTAGAGACTAAAAAGCTTTGGATCAGACTGGAGTTTTTCTTACACACTCTCTTGATTTTATTGTATTTTGTCCTTTGTATTGTATTTTGGCTTGGATTGGCTACCCTCTTTGTGATATCTGTCTGTGAAAGTTTGTTAAGTACAGTACAGATATGAGGCTCTCCATTCATCAAGAAGTATTTTTTAGTATTTTTCATTTACACCACATATTTGGTGTCAAGTGCCTCGGATCTCTCTTAAACCTGTCATGTCTTCATTGTATCTCTTCCTCTCATTGGTCTTTCATTGCTGTGCCTTTTTTGTTTACAGGTTTGCTTCTATATTGTCATCTGTTTCTTCATCCCGCATATTATTAAGATTAACCTTTTAAGCACAGCTAACTTGGAAACCACCAGTGCATGAATGACCCTGAGGAGTTTTTTTTTTTTTTTTAACTGGCATTCCTTAGGTGATTGAACAAGCAACAGACCTCTGGTGACTCTGATAGTTTAGCACACAATGCAATAAGGCAAACATTTCCCTATCTGGCCTCAGGTTTTAGGTAATGTTTTTTGTTCTGTTTGCCAAAGTAGTGCTTCTCCTTTCTTTAACCTCAGTAGTCTTCCTCATTACCCCTCATTTCTATTTTAGGCCCTTTCTGTTTTTAATGTTTTTTTATTCATCTAATCAAACACGAACACATAATGTCCTTTCATGGCTGGGCTGATGATTCTCTCTAATTAATATTTTTGGTAAAAGGTTTTCATTTATTAGCTTATCTTTATACTCTTCCCTACAATTACTTTTAACTGCTTGAATACAACTGAGGTTGTTTTTGACCGTGATCCGTAAACCAGTTGATCAGATGAAAATGGGTGGGTTTGTTGACCTCGACCTTCTGTTTTTGTTTTTATGACAGTTGTCGTTTATACATATAAAGCCTCAGCTCTTTGTAAATGTTTGCTAAAGAATTATGTCAAAGTTTTGGTTGTTTGAGTTTGAAAATATGTTGAATTTTAAATTGGAAAAACAGGAATGAACTCTGTGCTTAAACAAGCTGAAAGCATGTGTTAAAGGAACGGGGCTCTTAGATTGACGAAGGCAAGTCATGTTCCTTTTCTTTGGAGGGAAACATGCCAAAAGGGAATCCTAACTGATCCCACAAAAGCATCATCAATGCAGTATACAAGTGAGAGGAAATGTGCAGACACTAAACATAGACCTCAGTACATGGCAAGGAAATCACTGATTACTGTATGCTGTTGAGCTCGTTTCCCCTTTTCACCCTGACTCCCTTTGAATAGCTGTGATTGCTGCTTGTGCAGACCATGAAAGTACAGCCAGGCTTCACAGACACTTAAAACATTCACTAAACATTATTTTAATCCTGCTGAATTATTCATCGGTTATCAAATTGTTCAAGACGAGCTTTGATTGGGTGGTACACAACATGGATAACTACATCTCCATAAAGCCGTGTTGTTGAAAATTGAGAAATGGCTTCTAGTAGTCCTCCTGGGTTTAGTAAAACAAGCTAGAAGGATACGACTCCTTCTGGCTCAAACCAAACCTTTTGCTTGGTGGTAAACTTCACAGAATCATGTTTAGATTATTTCAAACAAACACAGCAAAGAGGGGCAGATTTCAGCAGTCTGTAAAAGGGAGTATTCATATTTATATGAATGTTGGTGAAAAATCTTAGTCATCCAGGTCATAGTCATTCCAAACAAGGAATGAATTAACTCTATCGCTGCATTGTAGGTTTTTGCATTCCTTACTGCAGTTCACCGCAGTGAGGAATGATCTGATCTTTATATTGGAGAAACCAAACAACGTCTCCACAAACGCATGGCCCAACACAGAAGAGCGACCTCCTCCGGACAAGACTCTGCGGGACATCTACTCCTTATGGACAAAGGACATTCTTTTGAGGACCAGAATGTTCACATTTCGGACAAAGAAGATAGGTGGTTTGGGAAAGGAGTAAGGGAAGCCATTTATGTTAAGAAAGAAAAAACAACCTTAAACAAAGGGGGATGGACTCAGGTTTCAGCTTTTAAAAACCAACGCTCTTGAATTATTTTTTTTTTTTTTTTTACAAATATTCATTTAAACGATAGAGATGTTTTTCTATTCCACTGCCTTAATCTGTGCTCTTTTGAACCTTTGCTTTTTTGCTCCTAACTTTTATAAATAGAATGTTACAAAGTGTAAAAAGCCTAAAGGGATGCATATACCGTAATTTTGCAGAGCTCGCACACTGGGCCAAAGAGATCATCACAACCTCTGTTTGGTTTAAACCATAGTTTAAAAAAATAATGTGAAACTATCCCGATGTAGAGATTTACTCTGAAAATATCCAATAAAAGCAAAATTCTCTTAAAGAATAATAATCGATTTATCTCCATTGGGTCAAATTCACAGCATTGTTTTTTTCATGATCTCCATCACCACATGGACCCTCCTCCATCCTTATCATCTCTTCCTCCTCCTCCTCTGGCCTCAGCTTCATCACCGTCATCACCTCCTCCACCCCAACCTCTGTTTTTGTTCTTCTTCTTCTTTTTCTCCTTTTTCTTCTCATCCTCCACCTTGTACTTGAGTCTTCTGACAGGGTCGCTAAAGCTGCGCATGGACTTGTCCTCAAAGTCCTCCTTTGAGAGGAAGTTTCTTTCGATGAGCTCGGCTGCCTCGTGCCAGTTGCGGTAGCAGTCTGGACCCATCTGGGTGATCTCCTCCACTGCGTTGGGGGTCAGGATGGAGCAGTCGGGACGCAGGACCACCACTGTGGGCACCTCCTTCACATTAAACATGGCCTCCAGCTCCCTGCAGACACACACATCAGCAGACACTAGTGACACACTAGCGTGTTGACATTATGAGGTAACACTTTACTGTTCGCGTGCTTCACACACCTCCTGTATGGATCCTCATAAGCGAGGAACAGCGACTTCTTTGGGAGCTCCTTCAGGAAGTTTTCAAGCTGTTCCTCTGTTTGATCCAGACTGAGGGATTAAAATGAAAATACAAAATAATTGTTAGGCATTTCTCTAAGTTACTGTTTCTTTAAACTATATTCAAAAGTACAGATAGAGTTCAGAAAATTAGAAATTTATAGATAAGATAGTTAATTGTACTAAATTGAATTCACAAAAATGAAATTCATACCAACTAGATTTATTACATAAACAGTAATTTGTGTTTGTTTCATTCCATTAATTTGGATGATTATAGCTTCATCCCATGAAAACACATAGTTTACTCTCACAAAATTAGAGTTTTACATAAAACTGTTAGAAGAGAGTTTCAACAGACAAAATGCTTAATTGAAATTATGTCCATGTACTTTACAAGGTATGAACTCAGTATTTGGTCCCTATTGCATGAGTTAATGCATCAGTTCAGTGCGTCATTCTAGTTATTAACCAACAGGTTGTTGACATTGTCAGGTCTGCTGATTCCCATCTATGTTTTGACAGTAATCCATAGATTGTTGATGGGGTCTTGGTCAAGTCCTTCTGCTGCTTATTGAATAAAGCCCAGTGATGGACTTTACGTTAATATATTTGGCAGAGTGATCAGCTGCAAAGTTCTGATGGAAATGTAGAATTAAGCTCTCCATAAAACTTAACAGAATCAAGCAAATGCTCTAAAATATCCTTAATAAACTTAATGGAACATCAGCAGATGACATGGCGCTCTACATAATGACAGGTTGTGGAAAGTTCACACTGGACTTCCTATCACTTGGATTCTGCACCTCTCCTCTCATTCTCCAGACTCTGAGACACTGATTTCTTAATAAAATACATTTACTTTCAACTGAAAATAATTAACTTTCTTTTTACCCCAGGAGGGAAGCTTCTCTCGCTGAGGCCTTTAACCTGTCACTTAATGGCTAAAATGATTACATTCCTTCTATTCAACTTTCTATTGTTTACTTTGATTCAATATTGTGTTAGCTACATAATTAATGAAGGGTCGCTATATGCGTCACTGTAAAGTTAGCATTTTTTACTTTAATAATGGAGTAGGATAAAACATAACAATGTTTTTATTAGTCTTAATGTAATCCTCTGGTTTTCAAAGAAAATAAATTTGAGATTCTCATTAGCTTTAGGCCATAACCATTAACAGACAGATAAAAAAAATAAACAAACTTTGCGACTGTTTTTAATTAATTACAAAGAAGATACGGTTAATATGAAGTATAATTATAAACATTTACCTGTGAAATGCAATGCAGAACTACTGGCATATTTCTTTATTAACATTAGAGAAAAATGACATACATAATCCCAACAATTAGATTATATTTCCAGACCAAAACCAATGTTTATCAGATTAAGAAAAAAAGATGTTGTTAAAGCAGGAAAAGAAGCCGAAAAGTGATTAATTAACACAGAAAAAGAAAACAGAAATATATTAATGCTGTAGGGATAACTTTCTGCATTTGGTGCCGGTGTTGATCAAGTTCAACTAACTACAGTGGATTATATTGGCCTTTTTGAAGGAAAAAACATAGTTTGTGTCTTAGTATTACTTTTGTAGACTATGAGGACTTGATTTATTTATGCAGACAATAAAAAAGTAGGTTATGAAACTGACCAGTTAAGGATATTCTGTTAAATCACTGTATATCTAATTACATCCACTGCAGAAATAACATGCAAGCGCATTAGAAAGGCATAGGACTAAAAAATATTACAAAGTGTATCCAAATGACATATTTTTTAACAGCTTTGCCTGAGGAATTTAACATTAAATATTGGTTTCCCTTCTTAGGAGCCTTTTTTGATAGTTTTTGTCTTTGAATTATAAAATAAAAGATGCCTGACTAAACTGGTATAACCGTAGATAAATACAATCACAACTGTAGCTGTGTTATATGCTTTTGAGCAGTGCAAACCCTCTAACACAATTTGAAAAAAAAAGTAAATGGCTTTACTAAAAGGCGCAGAAAATTTATGAAGGGAAACAGACTTGACAAGGATGAGAAAACCTGTGCGTAATGAGCATCTCGCTGAATGTTTGTTGATGCACCTGATGTAGAGAAGAACCAGCTGAGCGGCGCGCTCCACGTAGAACTCATCAGTCAGCTGTTTGAAGAAGTCATGGAGCGTGGGGGCAAACTGTTGGCAGGTCTCAGACTCAGCAGAGGCAAAGAAGAGCATCAGGATTCGGTTTTGCAGGCGCATGACGATCTCACGCTCTGTGTCCAACTCATCCTGATCCTTGTTGTTCTTCACAAGCACCCGATCAACAAACAGGTCCACCATGATGAGATGACAGGGAGGAAGCCAGAGCAGGAACAGAGAAACTGACTGAAACATTAATGATGATAAATTTACTGAACAAATACACAAGGCAAGGCAAGGCAAATTTATTTGTATAGCACAATTCAGTACAAAGACAATGCAAAGTGCTTTACATGATTAAAATAGAGGAAAATAAAACAGAATCAAAGCAAGTAGGAAAAAAAAAGAAAAGAAATAAAGTAAAATAAAAGAAAATAAAAAAATAAAAAAATGCAGACTCTAACAATGACGTCTTTACCAACTTCTGTCAACCCTGTTGACTTTATAGGTCCCGGACCTATTTATTTGTGACTTATGTGCTGTCTTTCAGACATTTCAAAAGTTATGGATAACTTTAAGTGGTTTTCCAGCACAGATGGTGGCAGTAAACAAAGGTTTAAAAAAACCCACTTTATATGGTTTATCAAATAATTGTATTCTATAAAAACACAGGGTTTCATTTGATTGACATTATTCCTTTCACTTTATTAATAAGAGGATAACACTTTAGCAATGCATCAAAAAGAAGTTTGAAACGTTGCAAAAGGCAATCAATATTTAAGAAAACAGACTGTTTACTGCAAATGTAACTCAACAAAGACTATTTGCGGGAACACTTTTTTATGTCAGTTTCTATTTGCAGGCAGCTCTACTTACAGCCATGTATTATATACATATATAATCTCGCTTGCTGGTAAATCAGATAATCCCTGCTGTTGCTTACCTATATTATCTCCCCTCAAGGCAGCAGATCCGACACAGAACAACATTCAAACCTGGGTTTTATTTTTCTTTGAAAGTCTCTCTTGATGCAACTTAGACCAAGTCCCAGTCTGTTATTCAAAATTACATTCTCCCAGTGACTCCACCTTCCCTATACTGGTGCCAATAGCCGCTCTCTGTGTCTTGGCTTTCAGTCGGTGTGGCTCCACCCTTCCTCTGTCTGAGTAGAGGAGGGACATAGGGACAAGGTGACCAGAGGAGCAGGGAACATGAAGTGCTCTCAGTCTTCCCAATGACTGAACTGAGTGATTATAATGAAAACAGGAACACATCAGGAGAGTGATGAAGATGAAAAAAGACATTAATGAAGCAAGTTACACTCTGATCTTTATTGCTTAGTGGCTGATAGAGGAGTGTGGATAGGAGCAATTTGATTCATGCAGAAAATAACAGCAGATAGTGAACCACAGCAGGAACATTTTCATTTACTACTTACTTTAAAAAAAATATATAATCAAAGCTAAAAAATAAAACTTTGTTCAATTGGTAGTTTAAAGTCATAATTAATGAATAAAAATAAGTAGTCAGATTAAAAGTACCCTCTGCACATCACAACATTTAAATACCGGTAGGTAATAAAAATACTTACCAATAGAATCACATAAAATTATTCTTAATTGGACTGATGTAATATTCTAATATTTTGTTGAATATTTAATATAAAGACTATTTCTGTAAAGTGCCTTGAGATGAAATGTGTTCAATTAATTAAATTCAGTTTATTTATATAACGCCAATTCACAACATGTCATCTCAAGGCACATTACAGTTCACCAGATCATACAGTCAAATCGATTCAAAGTTTTCTATCTAAGGAAAACCAGTTAATTGCATCGATTCATTTACTCGAATACAATCCCTCACACTAAGCATGCTTGTAGCGACAGTGGAGAGGAAAAACTCCCTTTTAACAGGAAGAAACCTTCAGCAGAACCAGGCTCAGTGTGAGGTGTTGTTAATAAGCGCTATATAAATAAACTGAATTGAATTAAAACCGAATTGAATTGAATTATTTTCCATACACAACCTTGGATTCAGCCTCACAATCATAAATTAAAGTTAATAATTTTTTTCATAAACATTTTAAAAAGCAAAAAAGATATATTTTTTTGCATTTTCTATCATTCCTTTAACACTGATATATTTATAGCTTAACTTTCTGTCTTTACCATGTTGGCTCTCAAAGCAACAATGATGGCAACAGCAAAGTGAAAAAACTAAGATTTACTTTCCAAATGTATCTTCATATACAGAGGGTGCCCATTACACATTATTACACATGACTTCATTTCTGGACGTCTATGATTTGGTTTCTTTGTATGTGTGGATTGCCTTGATTGTTACTGACATCTTTTGAAAATGTCATAGCACCTCTAAAAATATATTTACTGAGAAAAATGGTGGCGGGTCCATTACTTATTTCACCCGCTGTACTGCCAAAATAGATTCATAATTGGAATAAAGACTCTTATAGCTTCCTGTAGCCGCTAGCTAAGCTATAGAGCTAATATTTGCTCAAATATAAACAGAAAATAAAATAAGCATTTTTGTCAAAACATTTTTCATTTGCTATTAAATCCTTGAATTGTATAATGAATTTTATTTAACAGAGTAAGCATTAAGCAAAACATTTGATGAAAAACTATAGATAGATAGATAGATAGATAGATAGATAGATAGATAGATAGATAGATAGATAGATAGATAGATAGATAGATAGATAGATAGATAGATAGATAGATAGATAGATAGATAGATGGATAGATGGATAGATGGTGTTAAAGAAAAATGATTATTTTTTAGACTTTAATACAGTTAATCTTATGGCATGTGTAAAAGGTATGTTGTATACTCTCCTTTTCTCATATTTCTTATTTTAAACAAGTTTGTGAAGATAACCTTTCCTTGAACCAGATTACTAAATTTAAGTTTGTTCCTGAAAATTTATGGTGAGGCCCCCCGCATTCCACAAGCTGTCTGTGAAAGCTTATCTTGTGTTTTATGACCCTAAGAATTCTAGATGCCAGGACAAGCTTTCCGCCTTTTCTTGTTAAAACAAAGAAGCAAATGACCCCAGATGTTTGCAGTAAATAAGGGGAAGCTCTAGGCAGTGTCAGAGATGGCGTCTGGTTGGAGGACCGAGGGCCAGCCCTTTTTGAATGGATTAGATACAAGAGGATAAAGCTTTCTAAATAGAAGTTACAGATTAGATTTGCCCTTGCAACTCTCCAAAGATGTCTCTGTACTCTTTGCTTTCTTTCCTCCTATGTCAGGTAATGGAATGTATGTCTCTGTTGTTCTGCAGTTTCTGGTGTAGGTTTGTGCATTGTCTTATTTCTAAGTTTATGCATTGTCTTATATTGGATTAAACTCTGTAATTCTGTGATGTCAACACGCCTTGCTGATTTTCATAGTGACCACACGCAGCTCGCCGAGTGCACCTGGGAAAGGAAGAGAAACAGCCAACCTTTTTCCAAAGTTAACTATGTTAGAATATTTTCTTCCTTTACAATGGATGGATGGATGGATGGATGGATGGATGGATGGATGGATGGATGGATGGATGGATGGATGGATGGATGGATGGATGGATGGATGGATGGATGGATGGATGGATGGATGGATGGATGGATGGATAGATAGATAGATAGATAGATAGATAGATAGATAGATAGATAGATAGATAGATAGATAGATAGATAGATAGATAGATAGATAATTTTATGTTCATCTCACAGATTTCTTGAAATCAGGGCTAAAATGCAGCTGCAAAGAACAAAAAAAATCAGGCAAGTTAATAAAAGCAATTCATCTCTTTCTCCAAATTCCTTTATCCCCGTTCTTTCTTTTCATGTCCCATGTTTCATCCATTTCCTTCTCATTCTTTCCATCTTTTCCCTTCACCCATATCTTCCACCATCTCAACTTCCTCTTGTCATCCTCAGTCTTGTACTTCAGTCTCCTCACGGGGTCTGTGGCGCTCCGCAGGTTAGGATCATCAAACTCCTCGTTGAACATAAAGGTCCTCTCCACCAGCTCGGCTGACTCCTGCCAGTTACGAAAGCAGTCAGTACCAAGGCGATAGATGTCCTGCACAGCATTCTGAGACAGGACAGAGCCATCTGGACGCAGCACCACCACTGCAGGGATATCCTTCACCTTAAACATGACCTGCAATTCCCTAAATCACAGAGAAACACAAAACCAATGAAAACAGAAACTTATTTGATGCATTCATGAGGAAAGAGGGAGTAACTTACTCTCTATATTGATCCTCAAATGCCAAGAATAAAGTCCTTTTGTTGAGCTCTTTGAGAATTTTCTCCTGCTGCTGCACAGATTGATCCAAACTGGATGAAAAAAAATTAAATCATGAGTGTGTTATCAGTGGATCCATCCTAAGGATACAAATAAGAGGCAAAGATCTGCACCTGATGTAAATGAGAGCGAGGAGTTTGGGATATTCGATGTAAGCTGGATCTTTCAGCTTCTTAAAGAAGCTGTTGAGAACAGGCGCAAACTTTTGGCATCTCTCACAGTCAGCTGATGCAAAGAACAACATTAGAATGCGGTTTTCAAGGATCCCGATGATCTCGCGCTCCGTGTTGAGTTCATCCTGATCTGAGTTGTTCTCCACAAGAACTCGGTTCAGGAACAGGTCCACCATGTTGGCAAGAATATGAAAGCCCGCTGTGGAGACAACAGGGTCACCAAGATCATCTCAACTGCCTTGCAAATATGCTAATACATCTTGAACATTTCCTAGATTGGTTAATGCTCTTCTACATAATTTCAGTACATTTTTCCTGGGATCTGTGAAAAAAAATAGTTGTTTTTTTTACAATTAAATTCTAAAATAAAAGTATAAACACGACTCATTTAATACTTTGTTTAACCAGCTGTTGGTGCATTGACAGCTGCAAGCATCTTAGTATGTTTTTATTCTATGGAAAATAACTCCTGCTGCTCCATAAGACAAGACTAAGGCTGTCTGTGGACATAATTGCAAAGATTCCTAATTGGGTCCGATTACTGGCATTGTCTTAGCCTGACGTAGTCCTACTCAAATGTTGTGGGCGGGACTAAGTTCGGAATGGCACCCAGGCTAGCATTGTCTAGGCCTCCCTAACAAATAAAAAATGAAGGGCTGTTGTCCTGATAGAGGATGTTGTCCTCATGATGTTGCAGCATTGCCTTAATTTCAGCTTTGTCCATCTTCCCATCAAGCTTCATGGCTCCATTTAATTTAACAGATTTTCACCACAGCATGATCCTGCCACCACATCCCTCTATGGGGAGGGTGTGATTTTTATGCTGTGCCTTTTCATCTTCCACAACACTTTTGCTTGTGGCCAAAAAAGGTCACCTATGGTCCCATTCTGCTTTAAAGTTCTCAACAATATGGTAAAAATGACATAATTGGACATTTCTGTTCAAGTACACATTGGAGAAAATGAGTAACGTGAGAAAGAACAGCATTTAACCGTTTCTGCTTGGAAGTGGGAAACCATCTGTATTTTACAGTAGAATAATCAAGCTGGATAATATGAAGAGAGTTCTACAGAAAAAAAAAACCCTTGTGGGATTCTTGAAAACCACTGTCCAGAGCAAATATTAAACCAAATCCTCACTCTATTGGTGGCAATGTTAAAAAGACGAAGGAAATCACTGCCACATATTATGGCCATGCCCACATAATAATCCCTTTCTGCAAAGATCTCTACATCATTATAATGGTTGCATTAAAAATGGACGTATCATTAAGTATTTAAAACTGGCTGAGAATGTTTCATACAAAAAAAATACTTGTTTCTAGGGCCGAAACAAGTATTCTTATGAATCGTGATTAATCGATTATTGAATTGATCGTCAACTAACTTAGTAAGCAATCAATCATTTAATGATAGAGCAACCCACATAGACCAGCAAAGAAATATGTAAGCATTTTGCATTTCAGTTAAAAATCATTTTCGTCTGTTTATATGCTCTATCCAGAACTCCTCAAGGGGAAAAATTTTAGTTTCACTTTTAATTTCACAAAAAGTCTTGTTTAAGGAATCTTTTGCCATACGATTATTAATCGATTATTCAAAAAAATAGTTGACAGATTAATCAATTTGCAAAATAAGCGTTGTTTTCCATTTTGAGTGCACCTGATAGGAATGCTTTAACGAGAAAATGGCTTCTACAAGAGATGAATGGATAGACATTTTCAATTGGATGTATAATA